TCCCTCCCTCCCTCCTTCTCCAACCCGGCAAGCCCGGCAGCCCAGTTGTTTCGCCATAGTTTGCGGGGTGTATTCCTCCCCCACGCCCCGGCCGCTATGGAAACCGCCCGGTTCACCCCCGCCCCCTGAACTGCCCCCAGGTTCACTTGCCCTCTCCCCTTGGACCCCGAGAGTAAACGCCGGCCGCCTTTCAGAGGTGACCCTCCCCATCGAGCTTCCGCGCGCCCGCCCGCCTCTCCAGCGCGCGCACCGATGCCCGGCGCCTCCAGAACGCTCAGGGGAATCCAGGAGGAATCCCCAACTTTCCCCCACTTGGCTGGGCGCCTGAGCCCTTCCTGGACTCCGGTGGAAAGAGAGATGCGTGGATCTCGCGGTCGGGTTGCGCTTCTGGGGTAAAAGGGGATTGCAGAAAACTCACTTTGCCGGTTGCTTTTCGGGGCGCTCGTAGTTTTATCTGGGGAGCTCGTATGTGAACCTCTTAGGCAGGGCGATTCTGCTGGGAGGGATCCCGGGGCTGCCTCCTAGGCGAGGACTGGAGGCGGAGGGGAGAGGGGAGTTGGAAATGCTAAAGAGCTGGCGGCGGCTGCGAGGTAAAATGCACAGCCCCCTGCGTAGCCCTGGGCTGCCACCTGCTGGCCCCAGCCCATTCCGGAGCGGGCCGAAGTGCCTTTTCCCACTGATCCATGGAAGCCCCGGGAAGGAATAAGAGCCCACATCCTCCCTTGGTTCAAACACCAGCTTAGCTACTCCTAGGTGCGTAGGGGAGATGAAGGCACTGCACCTCTCTGCGTCTCCGTTTCTTTATCTGTAAAAGAGGGATGATGACATAATAGTACCCGCCTCAGTGCTGTTTTGAGGCTTCAGTGAGTTAAGACACAAAGCACCTTGAAAGTTCCTGGCAGACAGTAAGTAAGCATTTCATGAGTGTAGGCTATGCTAACAACTAGAAAGCTAATCTTCGTTGTATAGTGCTAAACATGGTTACTGTATTATCGCATTTAAGCATCACAAGAGTTCTGTGATGTGGTTCTGATTGCTTTGCCTGCATTTTATATTGGTCAGAAAACCGAGACTCACAGAAGTGAAGTTACTTCTTCTTTAAGGGCCCAGCTGGCCTGAAGAGCCATACTTCTCCTGCAGGTCTATTCCAACTGCAGCCTGGCTACTCGTGCAGCCAAGAGTCCGCAGTGTGGGCAACCCCTGGGAGCCTCTTAAAGGGCAGATGCCCAGGCCCACCCCTGACGTCCTGAACTAAAGTCTGCATTTTGTAAGATCTCCAGGTGATGCGTTCGTTTGCACATACAAAGGTTAGGGCGTTTCTTATCTCCATTCCAGGGAGTAAAGATTATGTAGCTTAACTACCCGCCTGGCACTTAGTTAAGGGGTTGTATCCCCTCCCTAACCTCAGGGAAAAATCCCTACCTGGGGAAACAACCTTTCTCGGAGAGGTGACCTTGGTTAAAACACATGGCGCTTAAGGAGAGCAAACATATTAAGAACAATATGCTATATATGCCAGGTCCCTTGAAACATATGCTGTGCAGATGTTTCTTTCCTGCAGCGACTGTGTCAAGCAGCAAGGATGGACCGGCTTCCGGCAGTTCTGATTGCTTTGCCTGCATTTTATATTGGTCAGACAGCCGAGACTCATAGAAGTTACTTCTTCCTTAAGGGCCCAGCTGGCCTGAAGAGCCATACTTCTCCTGCAGGTCTATTCCAACTGCAGCCTGGCCAAGGGTCCGCAGTGTGGGCAACCCCTGGGAGCCTCTTAAAGGGCAGATGCCCAGGCCCACCCCTGACATCCTGAACTAAAGTCTGCATTTTGTAAGATCTCCAGGTGATGCGTTCGTTTGCACATTAAAGTGTGAGAGCCGCAGGGTGCCACCACTTTTTCTTTTTTTATCTTTAGACCCAAAATGAAGAATTGAAAGTTTTGGGCAGTGGTTCTCAACTTGGATTGCACATTAAAAATCACGTGTGTGGGGGAACTCTTAACATCCCCAATGTCTCGGCCAAAGCCCAAGTGCTTGAGGGAGGGTCTCTGGGAATGGAGCCTGGCATGGGCATGTGGAAACTCCCTGGGGGATCTCAACAGGCAGCCAAGTTTAAGCAGCCCTAGTGGGGTCAGAACCGTGGGCGGCAGAAACCGCACCAGGTGTGAGACCAGTGGAGTCAGACTGGACCTTGGTTTAGTAACCTCAGTACTAACAGAATTCAGAGTCAGAACTCAAACTGTAAGAAGAGAAAGTTTATTTAGAAAGTCACCGAGGTAGCGTGAGTGGAGCGGTAGGAGACATGGGCCCAGGAAACAAGTTACAGAGGCAAAGGAACGACCCTTGGAGCTTAGGAGATAGAAAGAGAGAGAGAGAGTGAGAGAGACAGAGAGAGGAAGGAAGGAAGGAAGGAAGGAAGGAAGGAAGGAAGGAAGGAAGGAAGGAAGGAAGAAAAAGGAAGGAAGGAAGGAAGGAAGGAAAAGGAAGG